TATTACGTTGAAGAAAGACTTCTGTACACCTATGATGTTCTACAAATTCACATCCTGTTATAATCCCCCAACAAAAAACTGTGCTCCATGGTATCTCGCCACTCTTGTGGGAAGAGTGTTACTTAATGCTCACATAAGGGATGAGGAGATGTGGTGTCTCCTTACCTTAGACAAATAAATGTCATTCTGAGGAAGAATTAATGTGCTGTTATTTACAAAGGGTGAACAATTCAAAATGTACCACGTTTACCTGTGTTATTTTACACGGCATTGGACGGAAGGGCAAGAGCCCAGCTGTTGCTAGATTGATAACAACAACAACAACCTGTGTTATTTAAAACTCAAACGTATAGATCTATATGTTACCCCCATGAGAGGAAAGTTCTAATCAACCATTTTCCCCTTCTTGGTTCCCAGGCCCAAGGACTCCGTGGAAGCATCACAACTGGCAAAAAACTGGAACTTGCTGGACACAGGCTTTACATCATGAAAGACAGTAACAGTAATGGGTAAGTGCATGCTATCACAAGATCTTTCTCTGTTCAGTCTTAAGAAGAGAAATCCTGGTTAATGTTTATTACTGACACTGAATTCATAAAAAGAACGAAATTTTTAAAATGGAGTATGCGCTTCCACCTTGGAGGAAAGAACTGTGTCTGACAGACTATAAGGCCTGATTGCTACAAACTGCTTCATGCCAAATCAGTCTCTACAGTCATCATGCCTTCTATGGCAACTGCTAGATCTTTTGTGCAAGAAACATATTACCATTGTCATGGCATAAAGATCAAGGTGAATGCCACATGTAACGTAGAGGCGAGCCACAGAGAATGATTTGCAGAAAAGTGGGAAGACATGGAATACATTATAGTGTTCAAAAACTAGCCCAGGATAGGGGAAATTGGAAAATGTTAGCCTGTAGCTTATATATTCTGGTCCAAAGTGAGATCAAGGCAATGATGATGGGCTTGTCTTTTTTAAATGGCATGAAATATATTAAATTCTTTTTTAAAATCTTTATGCTCGTTCCCTGTACTGTATCTGTTCTTTCTGCATTGTTTCAGAGAAAAAGGAGCAGTGGTTGGCATTTTGAAAGTGGGAACCAAGAAGCTGTTTGTGTACGACCACAGCAAAGTGCAGCATGAGCTAGAGCCATTGTGTGTCCTTGACTTCTATGTCCACGAGTCGAGGCAGAGAATGGGATGTGGAAGGAAGCTCTTTGATCATATGCTTCGGGTAACTTTACTTTTGTTTGGAATATTTTCTTAAAGGTTGTTTCATAATTTCCTGATGACTAACGTTTCCAGTTGACTTATCATATAAACAAAATTGAGGGCAAGCGAGGCAGGGGTAGGCCCAGAACAACATACTTAGGGAACCTAAACAAATGGGTAACAGGGAAAGATCAGGGAAACGTAGCTTTTTTGAGAGCATCCGAGCAAAGGATGAATGGAAAACCGTGATCGCCGATGTCTGTCCCAGATCTGGATGATGATGATGATACATTGAAGTTCTTCAAGAAATTGTTTCTTCTGAAATTCATAGTGAATTCAGTCTCCTGTGTTTGCTATGCTTTATTAAGTTCAATTAATTACTTTACTCTTTCTGTACACAAGGGATTCCTCAATTTGAGGCAGCGAAGGGTGTTACTTTAAGACGGCTGTAATTCAGACAAATATTGATGATTTTGTTTGTGTGTGAACACTCAACAACATGTGTGGAAATAGGAAAGAAATGTAACACAGAACTAAGTCCAGATTTTGGGGGTGATAAAATCATCCGGAATTAAAGAATTAAGATGACTGAATACTCAACTCATTATAAGATAGTCACCTACCTGCCTTATAAGTGTAAATTTAAATTGTAAAATATTGCTGACTTGTTGCTGATTCTGTTTACTATTTTCGATTCTTGTTTTGAGTTTAAGATTAAAATGTCTGCTTTCATGTCATATTTCTTTTGTGTGAATTCCATTCTCCAAAAAAAAATCCTCTTCATGCAAAATCAGAATGAAATAATGGTGTTTTTAGAAGTATGTTTTTATACATTGATTTTATTTGTTCATTTTTATGTTTCAGAATGAGGGCCTCTCAGCACAACATTTGCCGATTGATCGGCCATCTCCCAAATTTTCTTCTTTTCTAAAGAAACATTACAACCTAAGAGGCACAATCCCACAAGTGAACAATTTTGTTATATTCGAAGGATTTTTTAGTAGAAGACCAGGTTGGTAAAACGAGATGTTTGAATCGCTCAAATCTAGTTTGAAGCGGTTATAACATTTAAGAATGACCACATCAATGTTGACATATAATTATAAAGTGTAAAGAGCTTTTTAAAATAGTTTTGGTTGTTCTTTTATTAACTATTTTGATTTCTTTCTGTAAAACTGCTGTGACTTTCTTGTTCCTGTACAAAATGGAAAATCTTTTGGAGCCTTTCTTACTATTAACATGATCACATCGCTATGAAAGCTGTTTGCTGTTTTTCTAAATGAGTGTCAACTCCTAATAGTAACAAATATTACTTCTCAAGAAAAAAATGTTCGTTAGGAATTTGTTATGCTTCTTTTGTATTACATGGAATCATAACCCCTGATTATTTAGTAAGTTTCTTTTCGACACCAAAGGACAAAACAAATCCCTTAGGTTTTGAGGTGATGTGAGTACACTTGTGCATACAGACATACACTCTCACAGACCAAAAAAAAAACCCTTTTGCTGAAATGAAAAAGAACGACACACAATTGACTAAACACACATGTATTTCCACACGGTTAATGTTGTTGTTGTTGTTGTTGGTATCGATCCAGCAACAGCTGGGCTCTTGCCCTTCTGTCCAATGCCATGTAGTGATAAGTGCAGGTTTGAAGTTTCGGTATTATTCAACATCATGTGGTTGTATCATTCTCAGCCGATGCAGGAAGCAACAGAGGGAGAAGAAGGAACAGTGTGGATGGCCGACCTCCGATGAGACCAAACTCAGGTACAGTTATACCTCTACTGAGTTGAACAAAAGTCTAATTGTTATTATTATTATTATTATTATTGTTATTGTTATTATTATTGTTGTTGTTGTTATTAATATTACTTTTATTATTGTTGTTGTTATTGTTACTATTATAACTATTACTTTTGTATTATTATATTTTTTTAAATAAATTTTAAGTTGGTAGTTTTGAGGGATGTGTGTGTTGCCAGTATAGCGATTAAACAAAACCAGAATCCAGAGAAATAAAAATTCAGCTGAAATTGGCATGGAGTATTAAAATTTATGTTGTTAGACGAAAGCTTCAAATTTTCAGATCTGAGGTTGAGGAGGCGTAGGTTGAGAATGAAAAGTTTGGAATGGCTAAAATTATTTAAGCCAGCCATGACAATGTATTACAGGAAAAGGGATTGGTTCTAGCTAAAATATCTGAGGCAGTGCGTGAAATCAGGGGCTCGTCAGAACAATGAAAATGAAGGAACTGGCATTTTTGAGCAGGATTTGGGAATTTCTATCGAATTTTTTAATTTTTTGGCTCAACACCTTTCATGCCCTTTAAAAAACACATTTCTGTGTGGATTTTACTGAAAAACGTAGATTAAAAGTACAACATATGTAAATCTTCAGTTTTGAGACTCTGAAGCTATTGAAGTTAACAAACTTTGGCGCGTATTTTCTCGCTAATTTTACCTCTCAAACTAGTCAACCCCACCTCATTCAATCGCAAATATCTCGACTTCTAATCGAGATAAATAAGTATTTTTTTCATTGAAAGCAAGGCAAATACGTAAGCTTTAAGATGATACCAATCACTCTACTTGCCCAAAATTTGATGACTGCCTCATTTCACTGCGTCGTGACTCATATCGTCTATACTTACATGATGAGAAACCTTTCTCGCTATCTTGTAAGCAAAAATTACGTTTTTTTAACAGGTCACAATATATATGCAAGCAATAACAACCCAGCAGCAAATGGATATCCCCAGAGCTGGACAAACCAAAGAAACCATTCTGGCAGCAATGTGAATGAGGTGAGTTTTCAGTTCTAATAATAATAATGATGATATATAACATTTATATAGCGCATTTCCGGGGAAAAAAAGTAGCTCAATGCGCTTTACATTGGAATACCCATTTTTCAAAAAGTTCTGTGAAGTGTGGCTTTTTTTTTTCCCTACAGCATTATGAAGTTCGAAATGTTTTTCCCAAAAAGCTTTGACCACTCTTTTATCTCATTTTATGTATATTGTTATCCTCTGTGTATGTTGATAAGTTAGCAATTTCGTGAGTTTGGCTGTTAGTGTTAAGGGAATGAGAGAGAGAGAGAGAGAGAGAGAGAGAGAGAGAGAGAGAGAGAGAAAGAGAGAGCCAGGGAGAGAAAGAGAGAGGGGGGAAATGGGGAGAGAGATAAAGGAGGAGAGAGGGAGAGGGGGAGAGGGGGAGCGGGAACAGGGAAGGGGGGAAAAGCCAAATTTCAAGACAGAAAAAGAGGACGTGTTTGTGAGAGTGAGAGAAAGAGGGGAGAGAGAGAGAGAGGAGAGAGAGAGAGAGAGAGAGAGAGAGAGAGAGAGAGAGAGAGAGAGAGAGAGAGAGAGAGAGAGAGAGAGAGAGAGAGAGCGGT